TTGGTACCGGGGGCGGGCCCCCCCCCCCCCCCCCCCCCCCCCTTTTTTTTTGTTCTCTTGAGTTTTCAAACAAATTTTAAAAAAGAAAAAAGAAACACTGCTTCTGCCAGACAAACCTGTTCCCCTTTTTGTCGTTTTTAGACTTAGAATCTAGAATATAATATTTGATTTTGTTGCTTTTTTCTTTTTTTTCAGGGGAGGAGGTGGATGGGATGAAATATAAAACTGTGGTTAAGACTGGTTAACCTATGAAGTTTTGCTTATTGCACCAATGGCTTATTTATCAAACTATATTGCGCGAGTCCCCAATTGGAATTCCAACAAACACACAGAAGAGAACCCTCCCCCCCTCCCACTAACCCCGTCCGATCACTCGCTGCTGGCAGAAGTTGTGAGGTTGTTGGTTTGTTCTTGGTTTGTTCTTGGTTGTTGGTTGTTTTTTTGTTTTGTTTTTTTGCGTTTTTTTTAAAGAGGGGGGGGGGTGGGGACTTGGCCTGGGCTATATATGGGGTTATTATTTTTTTAAATCATCCTTCACTTTCATTCAAATTCATATTTTTACTGTCAAGTACAATTCGGCCTCAGACGAGTGCCAAGTAGGCTATCTATATTATTTGCTGCAGTTGCAGTTGGATTGATTGAGAAATACAGAAGCACTTCGAGATAGTAAATAACAAGATGGGCCACTCAGCCAAAAAAGTGTCCGCAGGAAGTATGCTCTTTGCTTCAGATGGCGCTGCAGTCTGTTTTGTAGCTCTCTTTCGTTTTTCCAGAAGAAGAATAGGAATAGCACCTCCTTGCGTGCGCAGATCGACTGCTGTTCATCAGCAGTTCGGGTTCGTTCAGTACGGAGTTTTAGTTTTTTAAAATTTTAATGACCTCTCGCCTTTCATTGTAAAGTCAAATTAAACGAAGAAAACAATCACCCTTTCCTCCGGAAGAGGTTTTTTGTCAGCGTAACCATTTTAAAAAAGCGTTCTTCCGAAATTCATTAAAAAACTTGCTAGTTTCACTTTGATTTTTTAAACTCAAGTAGGATAACTCTGTTCGCTAAAGGTGCGCTTTTGCGAAGAGGGCGCCACCGAATTTTGAGGACACTTTTTTAATTGGCTCAAAGTCAAAGAGAGAAGTGGCCCCTCTTGTTATGTAGACTCTTTGCTTCGACCGAGGTTTTTATTAGTGATGGGCCGATACCACAATTTAGGTATCGATGTCGATACCTAGTACTTTTTCAAGGTATCGATACCGATACCTAATGCTATTGGTAACATACGCCGGGGGTAATAAGTAAAGACAAAAATACAACTAATTTTTTCCAAGTATTTAGGCAATCGTGTCTAGACAAGTTGTGACTATTTAGCTGAGACTCAAACAAAAATTATTTGTAAAAGAGAGAGAGAGAGAGAGAGAGAGAGAGAGAGAGAGAGAGAGAGAGAGAGAGAGAGAGAGAGAGAGAGAGAGAGAGAGAGAGAGAGAGAGAGAGAGAGAGACTATACCCAAATATGAGAATAAAAACAAAAATTAAGTGAAGTATGGGAGGAAAGTCAACTTTGCAGAAAATGTTAGTATTGGAAAATAAAAACACAAGAGTTCTAAAAAGGCAATTCAATTTACCAGATTTTTAGCAA